CATTTTGTCAGCTTGTTTACATTTTCCATTTCCCAGGAGCCCTCGGCAGTTTTTGCGTAGGGTATCGAGTGGCGGGTGGCACGCACTCAAGCGTAGGACGCGAAAGAAACACATTCTTCCCCTTCCCCTCGTGAAGCTCCCTTGTCTTCCGTTCCTCCTCCCCTTCAGTGTTCGCACTCCGACGTTCTTCCGTCAGCTTTCGTCGACCTCGTTGCCAAGGTAGACGCGCGCTGTCTTCTTGAGTGGGTGGCCGTCGTTCTCGCGCCTCGGAGATCGATTTCCCGTGTCCGCAGCGCATCGCGCCGCGTGTGCACGTGTGCGCGAGTGATCCGGAAGCGGCCGCCGAAATCGTTAGCGCGGGAAACGGCGCCGTTACGATCGACGTGGCTCGCGCGACGACGATCCTTCACGGTACGTGTGAACCGCGGTTCCTTCTCATCAAAGTGATCCTGAGTCAATTCGACGATCATGTTTTATAGGAGAATTCGGTGAAAGATGGAACTTCGATTTCCTTTGTAAGTGACTTTTGACTCTTAAGACTTGGACGATGATCACTGATTTAGTAGCAGAATGTAATCCCTCGTAAGTTATTTTACTAATTAAAAATGAAGGTGTAAGACTCAGTTCTCCGGTTCTCTAAAAACCACGAGAAGTACTCCCTACTTGTAGATGAAGCAGATTAACGCGCATTTCCATTTTATCAGACGAATTCTGAACAGCTGAGACTACGTACATCCAATTTACTTGATACCTGATTTCAATTAGAGGTATCAGATGAAAAGGTACGAAGCATTAAAAGTTCTCTCCGTATTCTAGCACTCCGCGAACCAAAGGATTTCGTACTAGCTTACATTCAGCTGCACAACCGTCAGGAACCTACAGCCACCTTGTTAGATCTGTTTCACAAGCGACGCGACTGTCACCAATTAAAACCAAGATAAAAGTGTAAATACAGACACGTCTTCTCACAGTTGCCTAAAACCCTCCGTGCGCCGTAAAGTGCCCCAGTCTCCCGATCAGATTATTCCTCCGTCTCGTCTTTCGACACATCCGCGATCATCCGCGTGAGAACGCGAGAACTCCCGGTGAAACTCATTGAGACGGCGCGCGCCGCGAGGGGGTGGCTGGCCGACGCGGCCGATCCAAAAATTGTGAAAGTGAATCATCTATCGTCGTACACCGGCGAATTAGAAAGTCCAGTCCGATCCGAGTTACGAAAGCCGGCTCGTAAAGGCGGGCTGCTCCCGTTCACCGTGACCATCTGAAATTTTCATCGTGGCTCCTCGGGACCGTCGATCGCGTTCGATCGGCTTCCAACACGCGAGATCGGCGGAACGACCCGACAGAGTTGACCGACCGACCGATCGACCGGGGAATATTAATTATTATACAACGACGAGATACAGTTGCCGACTTTCGAAACGCGAATCGCCGGCTTTCGGGAAGAACGCGACCGGCAATCGGTACCTCGAATCGTGTTCCCCGGATTACGTGGCTGGTAATTGCTTGTCTCTTGCGCCGGTAACGAACCATTGTGCCGATCGGGCCGCCTTATCGCCCGATAATTAGATCGAGATAAACGCGCAGACGGCGGACGGGCATGCCCGCGACTAATTTCTGCCCCGCGATCTCTTCATTAAGCCCTGAGAATCTGCTAAGTGGAATTTCGCGGTGGTTAGGAAACTTTCCCTGGTCGGTGCAATTAACAATGGCGGATCAGCGATGGATGCGCGCCGACTCCTCTGTCCACCTGACTTCTCCATTATGCCGAGTAATAAGCGGAAACATTACTTAGTGCGGTTGCGCAAGGGATGCGACGGTAATTGTTTTCTTCGCGAATGTCGTAAGGAAATTCGGAAGATGGCTTCACTGTTATTTTCCGTGCGATTCTTTTTCGTGCCACTTAACGGACGTCGCGAGTTTGATTAAGGTTTTAATGGAATTCGGTGTTTTCAAGGCTGTACGAGCGCGTTGTTGGAGACAAGTTTCGTTGAGGATGTTTCGAAATTCGAAATTTAGAGAGCTTCAGTTTATCTAATGGTCTTTAATGTATAATACTCCATTATCGGCTTCGACATTCTATAGATGTTTCTAAGAAACCTTTCGTATACTGTATTCCATGCTGTAATATACTTCCGAATGAATTTTTACGGAGTCCCGTCGAGTTATTTAGCAAAATCGTCTAAGACTCTCTTTTCTAAGTAAACAGCAGCGAGTAGCTGACCCGATCCGACCCGTGCATGAATATTCAAACAGAAGACGCTAATTGGTATCCCCAGCGAAGTCAATTAAAAGAAACAACACGAGCGTTTCACATGGTGCTGTTCGTACGAGGTGGTTTCTCGAAATCGCGCGTTCACAGTTGGTCAGGCCGGTCGTTCGGCGTCCGTGAACCGGGCGGGAACGATGCCCGCGCCGGAAATTCATTAGGCATAACGACCAACGATAAAAATCACCGTGGGAAAATCGGCGGGCGCGTTTCGGCGGCCTCGCCGATGGCGCCTTCCGACTTATCTCTCCTCGCGGGATTTTCCCCGGTTTTCCGGGTCCGCTTTATCGCGAACTTCCGAGCGTTTTATGGTCGAGAGGACTCCGCCGCCTCCGATGGGCGTTAAGATTTCGAGATTATCGCGGCTGGATCACGTTCGAACGCGAATGTTCAGATACGGTTACGGCGCTCCAGGATCGCATAAATTGGTTACTTTAATGGTAATTAGAAAGTTAGTTAAATGACCTTACGGTACGCTACCAGATGAATGAAGAAGTGGGTATGAAATTGGAGATTCGATCCTTGCGTAGCAGATATTTCTAAGGATCTAGATTCACTTAATAACCTTCCCTTATATTACTGTTCATCATCTCTTAACACTAATCCACTGATCAAAATTTTGTATTTCCTTTCGTTCATTTAACTTTCTATCGATTCTCACATTGTCCGATCAATCAATCTTCCAATTGTTTCCTTTTGTTTAAGTTTAGACAAAATTGATCGTATTTGTTTACCTATACGTTGTAACTAAGGTGATTAGAGTGGGAATAGTTACGTATAAAGTGCTGATACGTTTAGTGTTAAGTAAAAGATACCAACTTAAGTTTTCCACTCCTTACATTAATCAATCACGTTACGAATCAGTACACAAGGTATAGATACATATATGTCGAGACAAAACGAACGCTCAGAGAAATTTATATTGAAGTTATTCCAGAGAATTGAATAGAATCGATGAGAGAAATACTTTTGAATGAATTCTTTGATCCGATTATGGTCCCGTCGATGGAGGAACGTCCGCTGGAAAGATGAGTCAGTTTTTCAGACTGAAAATCCGGCCAAGTCGGCGCGGTTCTCGCGGGGAACGCGATTCGCTCGTTAAACCGATCGGTCGGCTGCGCGATCCGTATCTATCTCCGCTGTTAATGCCTTATTAACGCGTGGAAAAGGAATGCACGACACTCGCCCGCTCGCTCGTTCGCTTCCTCGACCCGTTGCCCTTTCATCGCGATCGTAACTCGTCCGCTTTATTAATTGAAGAAAGTGGCTGCGACGCGAGTGTCTCTTTAACTCGTCCGTCGCGTTAAACGAACTGATGTTGCTTGACGTAGCGGCCAGGATTCCAGAAATAGATCGATGAATCTCGCCGAGCGGCTGCCTCTGTTTACTTCGGCCTTTGTGCGCGACCGGGACGTTAATTAACTGCGCCCGATAATGAGGAAAATATTGTGTAACCGTTGGGAACTGGTTTCGCGTGGAATTTTGTATTATTAGTCCGATAAGATGACTCGGGCGAAATGTAGTACGAAAGCACTTATTGAAAGTACTGTCTGCGCGAAATTAGCATAAAGATAAGACCAGATTGAGTCTTCGTTTAATGAGACTTAAATATCGAATATGATAATAAACGAACTTCTGCTTTCATTTTCCATGGATCAGATTTTTTCAATATTCCAATTAATTTCTGCTCTTGCTTAGTCTTCGAAGGTTCAACCGATTGTAGAAAGTAATTATGTTCATCCGGATCCAAGTAACCTTGATAGAATTCTAAACTCTTCTGAGTTCTAATCGCTGCTGTATCTGTTCCACCGGTTTCTCGCCGGCTTATCGAGCGAATTAAGATCTTCCTTGAATGAAATCCGATCGCTCGGAATTCCGACCCAATTTTCACTGGTTGTCACGGCCGATCCACTTTCGTGCCGTGCAGGAAGACGAGTTACCATTTCCTAACGCGAGATAGAAACTCCCCGTTGCAATTACACGAGCGTCGAATGTCACCTTTCCAATATGCAAAATAGTAGGCCACCGGTCAGCCTTGATTTAACAGACACCCGCGAAAAAGTCGTCTGCTGCGACGACGCTAATCGGCGACGAGGAGAGCAAAACGAAGACGCGGAGTGCCATCGCCGGCTACCGCGCTAAAACGCGCAGAAGGAGGTCATGTAGCCAGCGTTAAAGCACCAGGCCTTCGATCGCTGTTATTAGCGATTCCGTTCGCAATCTTTCGCAATTTTCCAGGAGATCCTCCCTCCGGATGTCTCTGACGTTTACGTTCAAGGATATCGGTGGGATGTTGTTAGGGAAATTGGTCGGGCGTCACGGTCCTCCATCTAGCAGTTACCTGTTGCGACAGAATCTTGCGAGATCGTGTAAGGTTGAACGATAATCTTCATTTTATTGCAACCAGTCGAGAGGTATCGGTATCAGAAAACGAAGGCATTAGAGAACGAAGTAGAGAAAAACGATACAATTTTTCAAAATATTAATACGTATAATAAAATACGATAAGACTCGTATATAGGAGAATATCAAACAATAGGCAGATTGAAAATAATAAAACGATTCTATAAAATAAATCACTAACGGACGGTTGTCAACTGAATTCAATGCAATCTCAAGTTTAAGCTAGCTACTTCAATAAAATCTAAGACAGCCAAAGTTATAAATCGTCAGCCTAATTCAACAGACTTCCCAATCATTATCGAACTAACCACTTTCATTTTTCACGCAGAGTGAGAGCCGCGAGGAGACGATAACGACGACGACGTCGGTGGTGACCTCGTCGAAGAGCGGCACGAAGACGAAGAAGAAGAAGATCGAGGGCGTAGCCGGCAACGATGCATCGCCGAACCTCACCCCGCGCACAAAGAAGACCAAGAAGAGCAAGAAGAACGAGCTCGAGAAGGAGAACATCTCCGTGGTAAGTGAACTCGAAGGATTCGCGTCGTGTTCCTTGGTTCTTCGCAGGAGTTAAAAAGGAATCGAAAAGAGTTGAAACAGAAA